TCCATAAGCCATAAGGGCCACGCTACGAACGTCCCCGAAAACATAACCCAATGGGCGCCATACCTAGGGGCGGCTGGGTTAAGGCGACATACGTCCCTAACAGGACGCCAAGGGCAAATCATACGAAATAGCTTGATACGAAGGCCCAGAGGACGATAGGCAACAGAGGACGCCCATTGTATATGGGACGAACGTCCCCATAGCCCAAGCCAGCTGGGAAGTCTTTCCCCAGGTCGTGACGAGGTTCGTCCCCAACAGGACCAACCCACATCATCAAGGCCCAAGGGATGTACGTACCTAGGGGAGGCTGGCTATCTTGGTCTAGGGGCAGCGCGAGACGTCCGTCTGACACAACAGAGCATAACAAGCAACAGTCACATCCCGACTGTTGATAGGAACAACACAGCGGATGCAACGTCTACTTCCTTATGTCCCGTGCACGCTCGGAACATCAGAAGTGGGAGCATGGAGGTCTCAGAAATATAGGGTGGTCCTCGCCTCCGATGTGGATCCCACGTGCAATTCACTATTCACGCAAAAGTAGTAACAAAATTTTACAGCCTCGTAAATTCACAAACCATTTCATAAGGTTCAATACATGATCTACACAAAAGTAAATATATTTGAGGACGGTGTTATATATCATGTCAAACACAAAATTAGCCGCCAGAACTAAGAACCTAAAGAAATCAGGTGGAATGCCTAGCTATCCAAAATCATCGAGACCGCACACATAAACACTGTCATTTTGTGTAAAAAAGGAAACTAGTTTATGAGCATGTCCTACCAATGCATTTGACATTCTGCCACCAACTGCAAAAAAATGTATAACATGGAAAGAGAACTCTAATACCACTCAATTGATACTTCCAAAATCCAACCAACTAATCCATTTAGTATAGTCACATGTATACAATCATTAATGCATAATAATGTTTAGAGACTAAAGTTTCAATAACAAACCTAGCAAATTCATAATAATCACACAAAATAGGCAATAAAGAATCACTATATCATATTAAATCGTAAATCCAGAAAAATACAATCTAATACTCATTAAGCATCGAGAGACAAAAAATGGAAAGAGAAGTCTTGAATTTGAACAAAAAAATTCACTAAGTAATTTCAACAAACATGTCGTGGGCATATAATGAACTAGAGCGGTTACACAAAATTTTCAATTAATTAACACCTCAAATCCATTACAGTAAAATGAATTGATCAATTATTCAATATTACAACATACATTTTTTTTACTAAAATATTATAACATACACAATATACATAAAATCAGGGAAAATAACAAAAATAAAATAAAAGACGCGCATGAAGAAAACCCAGATATGTATTACCTCATAGTTTGAGATGAATAGTTACCTTAGAGAAAAACTAGTCGTGTATGACAACTAAATGAGTAGCTATTGAGACCTTCAAAAACAGAGAAGGAAAGAGCTATAAGATGAAGAGAGAGAAAAGAAAGGGGAATGAGGGCTGAGGTATTATAAAAGGGCACAAAGAGAGGACAATGAAAGAGGAGAGTGAAATAAAAAAGGAAATAAGTTATGTATTCGGTGTGCCAAAGGTGTACACATTTTTGTGCACACATAACATTTTTGTACCAAAATAGGCTCTAATTGTCCAACGTAGAGCCCATTTGGTAATATCAAAATCGATTGAATCATCCGATCATGTTGGAACTTATGAAGTTCTAACTGAAGTAGTTGGATTGAATGATTCTACTGATTTATGTACAAATTAATCCGTATATTTTAATAATCAAATAAAAAAATACTTTTGATGAAACATAGTTAAAAGAGAAAAGGGTCATATAAGGCCTTCTACTATTCTCAAATCGTCACATAAGGCCTTCTACTCATAAAAGTGTCACCAACATATATTTACTTTTAAAAAACGACCATATGAAGCATAATGACCGGTTAAAAACCCTCTGATCCCGGTTTCCGCTTACCTGGCACTCATTTTAGCAAATCTTTAATTTTTATTCCACGTCAGCTCCTTATCGTCAATTTTAAAAGGCCACCCACCCACGCTTTTGAGAAGACGCCAGTCCCTTATCGTCAATCTTTGATCAGAAGGTTTCTTCTCAACGAACGTTGGTCTCCCAGAAAAAGCTAGGGTTCATTGCTAAGCTCTGCTCAAGTTCTCCAGGATCGAAATGTCTTCAAGTTCGTTCACCTCGAATTCAAGGATGGGTTCAAACCTCTACTACGAACCTGCTGTGTATTGTAATTGTGGATTAAAAGCACCTTTGTGTGTGGGAAGGGAAAGTGGCCGGAAGTTCTATGGGTGTCAACTATGGAAAGTAAGTTATTGTGAACCAGTTGTATGAAAGTGTTTTTCGTTTTGGAGGATTTACCTTGAAAATAAAGATTTTCTAAAAGTCTAATCTTAGGGGTATTTCATTTGGCAGATTTTTGTGGGAACTGGTTGTTTTCTGAACATTTCCTATTTGGGGGATGATCTACGAAGCATTGTACTGATTTTTTTATTTTATACATAGACACAAGGAGGAGGATGCAAGTTCTTTGCTTGGAAAGAAGAGAGTAATGCTAAATGGGAAAGTTCAGAATTGAGCTAGGAGGAGGGCAGAAAGCTACTTTATCAGTTAAGAGATGAAAATATGAGTGTTCGTCATGAAGTGAGTGAGTTACGAGCTGCACTGCAATCCGAAATTCAAGAAAGGAGGAATTGTATAATGTTGATTACAATTATAATTGTATTTGTTGTGGTAGCAATGGCAATGATGATCTGTGTACTAAAGTAGAATTTGTAAAGAATTTTTATGTAGTTCTTGCAATGGCTATGAAGTAACATTGTATAACAATGTAATTTGTAATTTGAATTTCTAAAAGTCAAGGGTTATATATTTAACTTTTTTGTTATGATTTCTTTACATACATGTATATGATATGTGCCGTAAGGGAATCATGTAAATATTGCAGCTAGTTGCTTACGTGTACATATATATGTTATGATTGCAGAGGTAGTTGCTTATGTGTTGCTATCTAGAGTAAATATTGCAGCCAGTTTTACAAAATCACAAGTTCTAAGAAACATTACCAGGATCAGCCATAAATATCATGACTCTGAGTGCAAACTAGGGGGGTCTTCGGAGTCATAATACTCACTACATTCTTCCTCACCGTCAAACTCAGACTCTGAACTAGTGTGAGTACCCTTTTTGTTTACCCAATCATTTTGAGCCTTTTTTAATTGCTCATCGTTGTCATCGTTTAAATCTTCCTCACCCTCGAACGAAGCATGATCATCACGAGATCGTATGTCTTCTTCATTCTCTTCACACTCCCCATTTGGTGCTACCTCACCGTCTTTTTGTTCTTCATGCGTGTCTTCAAACTCATTGTGATGTTGTGCCTCAACTCTCGATGAAGTATCATTTCCCTCCACAGTTAATGATGAAGGCAACCCTAAGTGGTCAACGAGTTCAGGTTCATCAATCCCATGCTCCACATACACTTCTACTACACCGTAAATAAATGTCATCTCAATTAGCTGTAGAGTAGTAGCATCATCGCATAATGGCCTTAACCTGTTTAGACTCTCGTCGGGCAATTTAAATGACAGTGAATCCACTTTTTTATACATATCCTCTGTGATGTACTTCATCAAGTGAGGGTATGAAATTCTATCTGGATCTAAAACAATAGTCTCAACATCACCATTTACATATGCAAGATTTGGTATTCTCTTGAAATTTCCTCCATGGTAGATTTTCAACTCAGCTTCTAAAAACATTCTGAAAATAAGAACATTGACAGATTGAGTAACTTCTCAAATAAGAACATTGACTCAAATAGATAACTTCTCAAATAGTTATTTGTAAGAAACTCCATACTTGCAATTTTTTGAGTAACTACACAACTGTTATTTCAAGATTGGTAGAGTAACTATTCAAATAGCTAACACAAAACAAAGAGACTCCAAAAAAAAATCCAAAATTTGTAAGAAACTTCATACATGCAAGAAAGAACATATACGAATTGAATGATCCTTTTATAACTTAGAGGTAAAAACAGGGTAATGAAATTTAGGACTTGAGATGAGAATTCTTTAGATACTTTAGTAGATTTCACGTTCACAATTTCACTTAAACTATACAAATTTCAATTAATTTTCAAAAACATTCTTAAATAGACTTAAACAAATCAGTGAAATTGAACATAAAAAACTGACTTACTTTCCTTTCCCAAAGCAACCTGTAAATGCAAATGAACGAACCCAGTCACAACCCAAGCAGCGAAACAAAGACCTCACTCTCAATCATCGTCCCCAATCGCGGAATCCATCTTTCTCCAAAACCCTAGTCGCAGTAAGATTGGATGAGCGATCTTATTTTCTTAAACCCGATATGTCTAACTTATGCTGAGTATTCGGACACGGTGCAACTGACGTGGAATAAAAATTAAAGATTTGCTAAAATGAGTGCCAGGTAAGCGGAAACCGGGATCAGAGGGTTTTTAACCGGTCATTATGCCTCATATGGTCGTTTTTTAAAAGTAAATATATGTTGGTGACACTTTTATGAGTAGAAGGCCTTATGTGACGATTTGAGAATAGTAGAAGGCCTTATATGACCCTTTTCTCCAGTTAAAATGATCTTCTACAGTATCCTCAACCAATACAGTCAGAAAAATAACTTCAATCTTACTTTTTGTTGTTATTATTATGCAATTCAACGCGGAAAATCAAAAGTTACGTGCTTAATAAGAAAATAAACTCACTAAGAGGCCGTTTGGTAATACCTAAATTGACTGTATTGGCTGATTCTGTTGATTTATGAAAAATTTATATTTAAAATATATTTTATTAATAAGATATAGAAAAAATTATATGAAAAATAGCTAAAATGATCATACAAACTTCAGCTAATACAACCAGAAAAGTAATTTCAACCTTACATTTTCTTATTATTATACGATTCAAAGTGTGAAATAAAAATTAGTACAAACTATGCGTTGAAAGAGGGTGTGTGTTATATGCTCCCGTGTTGTTTCAGCTATGATAATTTCTATCCGCCATTGGGGTGCCTCAGCTAACACACCTCCCCGCTATGTCAGCTGGTCGACCAACTGACCAAGGCCAAGTTAAAGAGAATCAATCTTTTGTTTAGCCACTCTCGTTCTTTTGACTCACAACGACTTAAACCCTATCTCACCTCTCACACCAGTGGCCTAAATCCATGTGAGACCCTGTTTCCCCTCCATTGTTTCAGATGCCTCTCATAGTTCATTTCCGAATGTTTTTTCACGCGACAATTTTGGAAAACAATCACTCTCATCTCTAGTGTTATTACATTTCTATACAATCAACTAAGTTTTTTGTTCATGGTCCCGGTTCAGTTACGGAGGCATTCCTATTACTGCTTTGAGACTGTATGGCAAGAAATTTCCCTTAATTTTCATATATATATATATATATATATATATATATATATATATATATATATATATATATATATATATATATATATATATATATCTATTATTTGCTTCACGTCACAGTGAGTTGACTTTGCATCGTATGCAATGTACATATATTATCTGTTCATTGACATCAATTGTAATTGGATTTCAGGAAAGTCGGCTGTAATAATCTACTGACACAAACTTACCGCATTTGAGGCTTGCTGATCATCTCCACAGCCCTATTATTGTGTTGTCTGTTATCATTTAGTAGGATTGTTTTGTAAAAATAAGAAAATGATAATCTAGATGCCCCATTTGTGTAATTGGCAACTGATGCTACAATTAACATTATTATCAGACATTTTGGCTGAAATATATTGACCTGATTTGGATTCTGTCCTCCATGATCGCTTCTTTCAATTTGATTGGTCTGCTATATCTAAATGCAGAGTTATTAGGTTAATATTTTCACATTCAAAAGACTTTTTGACATCTTTACCTTGCATTGCTTGGTTGTGTGAACTCCAAGAAGTTCATTTTGCTGAAAGATGGAGAGCTTGGCACACCTTGAAGCATTGTGTGAGAGGCTTTACAACTCGCAAGATTCTGCTGAACGAGCACACGCAGAGAACACTCTCAAATGCTTCTCAATAAGCAGTAGCTACATCTCACAGTGCCAATACATTTTAGACAATGCATCATCACCTTATGCACTTATTATGGCTAGTTCAAGTCTGTTGAAGCAAGTGACAGATTGCAACCTATCTGTGCAGCTTCGGTTTGATATTCGTAATGTTCTTATTAACATGCAGTTACTCAAGTTTGAATTTATAGGTCATTGAGATTTTCCTTTTTTCTTCATGTGCAATTTACATCCTCTGCAATCTGCATGGCTCTCTAGAATGTGAGCTATTCACTGTCAAATTGGATGAATCATAAAGGTTCTATATAGGGGTGGACCGGTTCCGGTTCGGGCCTGGGCCCGGCCGGGCCTCGGTTCATGAAAGGGGAGGCCCGGAACCGGCCCGGGTAACCCCCGGGTCCGGTCCGGGCCGGGTAACCCCCCGGGTCCAGTCCGGGCTGGGTAACCCCCGGGTCCGGTCCGGGCCGGGTCTCGGTTCATGTAATTTTTTTTTGGCTTTTCCTAATTCCCCCCCAACCCTCCCCCCTCACCCCCAAACCACCCCAAACCACCTCAAATGGCCCATCATACCCAGCCCAACCCAAAAACTTAAAAAACAATTCACAAAAAAAAAGAAAAAAAAATTAATTGGCCCGGACCGGGCCCGAACCGGCCGGGCCGGTTCACTATTTAGCAGGCCCGGGCCTGAACCGCCTACCTCAACAGGCCGGGTGGCCCGAACCGGGCACCAACCGGTTCACCGGGCCGGTCCGGGCCGGTTGGCCCGGCCCAAGTCCACTCCTAGTTCTATACCATCACATGCTCTACATCATATTGGCGTCAGATGAAATAAGTTTTTCATTTAATTTAGTGCATGAACTATATTTCCATACTTAGCAAGGGTTATTCACTGAAACTACACACCTATTGAGTAGTTAGGTGGCTACCATAGGAAAGTGGGAGGGGGAGATATATTTGAAAGACAATGTGAAACTATTTACTGATTTACAGCACATCTGTGGAAGTACTATGCACTTTTATCCCACACTTTTTTGCTAATATATAGCTTATATAGCTCTGGCCTTTGATTTCTATTATTAATATACTCCGTATTTATATTGGTTCTTTGGTATCAACACATTGTGGTGTGTTGTTAATCGAGTTTTTTTTTGCTAATGTTCACTCCTTATGAAGGAAACTATACTATAAACTACCTGGCCACAAGAGGACCTGATTTGGAGTCTTTTGTAACTACATCATTAATTCAACTTGTTTGCCGAGTTACAAAGTATGGGTGGTTTGAAGATGACAGTTTCAGAGATGTGGTTAAGGAGTCAACAAACTTCTTGAATCAGGTAAATATTGTCGTGTTCACCAGATGTATAAAGCTATAATAATACTACCTCCGTCCCTTAAACTTTGCCAAGTATGACCGGCACGAGGATTAATAAAGTAAAAATTGTGTGGTTGAGGTTTGTGCAGAGGAGAGAGAATTAAGTGGAACCACAAATTCTTTACTTAAAAGGGAAAATGGCATAGTTAGTGGGACATCCAAAAAAGAAAAGTTGGCAAAGTTTTAAGGGACGAAGGGAGTAATAAATAAGTTTTCCGGGCTACTATTTATTTCCCCCAAAAACTCCGAACTATAGTTTGTTCAGAGACGTGCAAAAACCCCCCACCCCACCCTGTGATCATCTTTTTTCTCCCGGATGTTAGTGAATACCATAGTTCACTGTGTTTCAACGTTTATTATGATTTGAAGCTTGCCTTGCTAAGATTTTCGTTTATGTCATTTATATTGCTGTACTATATTTGTAATTTTTGTTTGCATGCACTAAAAATATGTCTATAAATTTGTAGTTTTTTTATGTTTTAATTTTCTACTGTCCTCAGACACCATTACATTATGCCATTGGTTTGAAGATACTGAATCAACTGATATCTGAGATGAATCAGGTTCACCAGTTTCTTAAAACTCCTTTCTTTTGACTCCTTTCTTTTGTTATTGTGTATACTAGAGCTATCTTCCTAGAGCCAAAGAAGAGTTAAACTGTTAAAGAAATGTACACTGATGATGTCAACTGTGCTAATTAGAATGCTACTTTACGGTTAGATCCACGAGCTTATAGCCTCATACTCAATAAATAGTGTCATTTCCTAGCAGTCTTAGAAAACCACTGAGGGATTATCTGATAAACCTTTTCATTAGTAGAGCTTTTTATGTGATGGTCTGGATGACTGGATCAACTACTTAGGTAGTGGGTTAGTACTTAGTAGCCATGTAGGTAAATCAAATCTTTGCATTAGAGTTTTTTCAAGTAGATGATTTCTGATGCTTAATTTAACAAATGTATTTTCTTATTAGGAACAATTATGTGCCTGTAGACGAGAGAATAAATTGTGAACATTGGTGGTTTGGCTGACTGAAACTATTCAATAAATAATGGTAGATTGCACATGGGCTGTATTGTGATGTTTGAACACCATTAGCTCAAATATAAATATCTAGGTCTCTTTTGTAATGGTAAAAACTCTCTAGTTTTTGAAGAAATGGAAAACACAAAATGGAAAAAGCCGCCCCACACAAAATTGAATAAAACGATAACCATTTCTTAGGTGAGACATACACCTCTACTTATTTACCTTCAACATCTATTTTGCACTCCATTACCAAGTAACCGTGCGTCACTATCACTGCATCTATTACTATCCTCACTTGTTTTGTCTACTACTATTTGGTTACCCAGATAAATAACTATTTGTCCCCACTACTTGCATAGTTGCATCACTATTAAACACTATTTATTCCTCACCCTATATTAAAAACAATCAAAACCCATACAATTCAAATTTCATGAACTAACAAACAGTCAAAGTTTTAATATATTTTCTTGTTCTTCAGGGGAAAATGTGTTAGTGGCATTTACTTTTCGCTTAAGGCAATATCTATCCAACACAAAAAGACAACAATCGCCTATAAAATGCAACAAAAACATCTACATCTTGATAGAAAGCAATACACACCAAAATATATCTTGAACTAGAAATTGTAATGTATTTCTTTCCAACTTATTTGGAAATATATGATTGAGAAATAACATTCAAATAGAAGGGGAAATTCTATAGGATAGCTATGACCTTGGCTATGTTGTATGGCTTGGAGTTGCACAATGCTACAACGTTTTATCAACATGCGCACAAAGGGTTTCAGCAGATATAAGAATGCTGAGATCAAGGTTTGAAATTGCATATTGCATAGTCATGGTGTGTTTTTAAAATTGCATATTGCGTACGCCTGATGCGTGTAACATGTATGCGTGCGTGTGTAAAGTGTCATCATCATTCATCATCATTACCCCAGTGGCGCAAAGGCTCCCACCTTCGATGGGGTAAGGGGGTTGGATGTAAGGAGTCTTACCCCTGTACCAAAGCATAGAGAGACGGTTTCCAGATGACCCATAATGAAATTTTGGGTCGAAAATTGCATGGACTGACCGCTCCCGCATAACAAAAAAGCGCAAACAATTTAGTGAGTCATTTTGCTTTATTCCATTATATTCCCAAGCCAAAAAATAGTGAGTGTTTGGCTCCATTGCAAATGATGGAACAATCCGTGTGTAAAGTGTAAACACAATAAAAAATAAAACAACCGATTCATCAAAAGTCATTAAATGACATCTTAAACATTATAATGAGGTCATAATCCTAGCAAAGTAATATGTTCAAACAATAATCAAACCACAAAATAGCAAAAATTTCTGAACTGTTCATCAAAACAAAATTCCTAACACATGAAGTTTTTTAGTTTATTGAATTGATGACTGAAAAATCGAATCATCACTATCTAATGGTTCAAAATAGGAATCACAACCACAAAACATATTGTAAAATTAAAAAGTGGGCTGAGTGAGCCCAAACAATACCCTTACACTCTGACCTATTGCGTATGCCTCCCAACACCTTATTGCGCACACTTCCCAACGCCTTATTGCGTATGCAATATTGCATAAGCCTTAGTGCAATATTGCTTATGCTACACTCCCAACGCCATAGCCAATTCCTTTTACGCAATATTCCAGGAATTAGCTTAGGCGCACCATGAGGTGCAATTGCATTGCACAATAAGAAGGACAGAACTATGAAAGAGGTGAACCATGACTTTATTTTGGTAGATTGTGACTCTGTTTTTTAGAAACATGACTTTTTAATGCATTTAGTCCAATATGATGTTGAGTGTCATATTTGATCACTCTAGAATAGTATACATAATATTTTCTAAATAGTGTGCTTGACATGACTACATGAGTAAAATGAGCGATTTTTTGCGCCTTGTGCCTCAAGCGATATGAGTACTCTAGCGCCTTGAGTGCTTGTCGTGACTTTGACTACCTTGAGTGCGCCCCATTTTTCTTTTCTCCTCCCTTCAAAAGGGTCAATTTGTAAACTCCTAAGATCATCTTTTTATTTTCTATAGGTGTGCCAAACCCAAAATGCTTCTTGCATTTTGGGCCAAAAGGTATCTTTTATCTTTTTTGGTAGATGTCAAATTCTCTTAAAAATTACATTTTTCCGTTGGATCGCAATCTTACCTATTAAAAGGTTCTGCCTGTGCTTGTAACAGAGCTATACTTTGTGTTTTCACAATTATGCTGATTATATGGGTCTCGTGTAACTGTTCTCTTACTTGATTATGAGTATGTTTCATATGGTCATACCGTAGGTCATAGATCTATTGTGTTGTCTACTGATGCATTGCTATATATTTCTGTAAATGGATCAGCCAAGTTCTGGGTTGCCACCAGCACAACATCGTAGGGTGGCTTGCTCCTTTAGAGACGAATTGCTTCTTCAAATATTTCAAATATCCCTTACTTCGTTGTCACAACTGAAGAATGAGGGTACATTGTCAATTCCTGCAGAAACGCTTTGACGAGTTCTGTTAATATTTCTTTTTGTACATTGTCATTTAAAAAATACTAGCATGCATTGCTAACTATGCAGCTGGCAGCAAGTTACAAGGACTGGCCATTGCACTATCGCTAAAGTGTTTATCTTATGATTTCATGGGGATAACGGTTGATGAAACATCAGAAGATCTTAGCAACATTCAGGTGCTACTAAGCATCATCTCTTCTTGTAACAGCTCCTCAATGTACATTTAAAGTTGTTAGCTGATGTCCCCAGTCCCCCATTAAATATATCCAGATACCAGCCGCGTGGAAACAAGTCATTGAGGATCCATCAACTGTAAAAATATTCTTTGATTACTATGAAATCAATGAATCTAACTTCTCAAAGGAGGTAAGAACATTGGTATTTTTGCTTTCGTCGCAAGTGATTTTTCACTCAAGATGGTGTTTGTTATAGAAAGGTGGGTTTGGGGTTTCCCGTGTTCCTCTGTTTTATTTCTAAAATTACTCCTTGTGTCCCACTTAACTGGTCATAATTTTTTTTAGCGTGTCACAAAAGTGCAAAAAAGAACTTACTTTTTACACTTCATCCTTTCTTTGTCATTCTTTTAGGAGATACTTCTAAATTACTAATTACTCCCTCCGTATTTTAATGTTCACTACATTAAGTTGGACACATTATTTAAGGAGTAAAGTAATAGGGGTAGTGAATAGTGTAGAAAAAGTGGGAGAGAATGTGTAAGAGTATGAAAGAGAAGATAAAAAGTAGATAAAGTAAGGGTAGTTGAGTATTTTATAAAGGGTAAACTTACAAAAAATGAAAATGTAGGGAACTTTTAAATTGCAAGGTTTATTAGTTACATGACCAAATTTGCTAGTGATTAAAGTTATATGACCAATAACGATAACAACAGAAAGGTACAGGACTAAAATTGCAAATCTCTCAAGTTTCATAGTGTGACTCATAAGCTTAATTCCTCGATAGTTGGCACAAACTTGTACATCAGCCTTATTCTTAAATAGGGGAACACGAGTACTTTTCTGTCAACTCACTTATATTTTGTTGTTTCTTCAAATCTTGTAAATCGATATGCCATTTGGACCCACTGCTTTCTTCCATCCCATCATTCTCAGAGCCTCTTTAACTTCTGTCGTTTGGATCCTTCTCATAAAATCCCGATTTACCATACAATCTGGTATAGTAAGATCATCAATATCTTGTGCTTTATTCCCGTTGAATAAGGTATCAAAGTATGACCTCCATCTCTCTTTTATTTCCTTGTCCTCCATTAGTACCCTTTGATCGACATCCTTCACACACTTAAGTATTCCGACATCTTGAGTTCTATGTTCACGAAGATGAGCAAGTTTATAAATATATATTTTCCTCCTGCCTTAGAGTCCAATTTTGCATACAACTCCTTATTCACTTTTCCTCGTTCTCCCTTCATGGCTTTCTGAGCTTTTCTTTTAGCCTCCTTGTACTCCTCTATGCTCTCATCGCTCCAACGTTTTCCCAACTTTTGTAGCATAGGATAGAAGAAGTATATGTTTAAAATTTTGCACTTCCTGTCCTGTGTGACATATGTGATTGGGTGGATAAACTATACCGTTAAATTTTTAATTGTTAAAACTTAAAACCTAAGGGGCTTTTAGTGGTTTTTTCTTTTTCTTTCTAAATAAATATATAAACTACATCTCTAGATGCTGTGCTGATTAAACTTGTACAAATCCAAGTCCAAATTTTGTCGATCCATTATCACTGTCACTACTCCATCACTGCCACCTCTATGACTCTATCACCATCACTACAACTACCCAATCACCACTACCGGCACGGCGGTACCTCACAACCATCACTTCATGAGTTGTGGCGACCTTCCACCATCATCAACTGTAAACATCACACTGTTGCAGATGCCACCACAGTTATTTGATTATGATAGATTTATCTACTTATCATCACCATATTTTTTTTATAGAGCATAGATTTGTAACATTGATTAGTTCATATGCTGGGAATAAACCTAACAGAAAAGTACAACTTTCTAATCTATTTCAAGCATCAGAAATAGAAAATAAATTATGGAAATCTGTTTTTTTTTTCTATTAACATTTTGCATTTCCTCAAACAACAACCACAACCTTAAGGGCTTGTATGCTTCAGCAGTCCGTTTTCAGTTTTGGTTAACACTTTTAGAACATATGTGGTATAGGTTTTATAATGAACTAAAGAGTAGTTGTACTTGTGCTAATCATGGTAACATTGAAAACTGAAAACCATATTTTCATACTAAAAAAATAGTAAGCAGAAATCTATTGCGAAGAGACCATAAGTCTTTGAAGTCAGTAATTGCTAAATTTATATGCTAACCACCTTAAACTTCACCATGAAGGTTTTGGAGTGTCTGGTCCGCCTTACTTCTATTAGAAGATCCCTCTTCACACATGATGCTGCTAGGATGAAGTACTTGTCACTCTTGATGACAGGAACTAGAGATATTCTGCAAACAGGCAGAGGTATATGGTTTTTTGCACGCCTCGTGATGCATTTGGGATTTGTAATTGCAATCATTCAATTTTGTTCTTTCAAGAGTTCTGATTTTGTTAATGAAAGCCAATAGAGCATTGCTTTTCATTATCGATATTAGTTTTCTCTCTCTAAAGATAGGTCAACTACAAAGTCAAGGCTTGCATGAAAAATGCTACTCCCTCCGTCCCGGAATTATCTTCATACTTTCCTTTTCGGTCTGTCCCAAATTTATCTCCTCTTTCCCTTTTTAGCAAAGAATTTGTGGTTCACAACCATTCTTACACATTCTTAAACATTTCTCTTTCCTCTGCACAACTCTCCACCACACATTTCCCACTATCTTAATCCGTGTGCCATTTGTACTTCAGGAGATAAATATGGGACGGAGGGAGTATTTATTTGGGATAGAACAGGCAGATGTATATGTTTTTTGTACGTTTCACAATGCATTTGGGATTTTGGATATTTGCAACTGTACAAATTTCTTCTCTTGAGAGTGCCAGTTTGTTAGTGCAGGCCATCAGAGCATTGCTATTCGCTATCGATAAGTTTTTTCTTGAATGATAGGTCAATTACAACCTCAAGGCTTGTATCAAAACTGTTAGCTATCCCAGGACATGACGGATTAGAAGTTATCAATTGGAGACTCAGAAAGTTAACACCGTTAGTAAAATTATAACAAATCTTACTTGGCTAGTTGGCTGCCAGCCTGCCACATCCAATAAACATATATTTGTAAAAATAGCAGCTAAAACTTATGGTGTTATGGTTTGCAAAATAATATACTCAATAAATTAACAGAGTGAAAAAAGTAGCAGATGCTGTTCTAGATATGTTAACATCATCAAAATATAAAACAAGCAATGTTATCCATTCATGCTGATGTATTTAAATATATATTAATTTATTATTGTTGGTAAGTAATATATTTAAGCTGTTTATTTATTCAATAATATTCTAATCTAACACAGAGCTCATTTTATTTATTGTTCCCATCTTGTTTCGCTCGCCAAGTGGGCAAGTACTTGTTTCAATGATAGAGATATCCAGGAATTACAGAAAGATATCAAGAAAAACAACTGCAAGCTTTATTGAATCAAGAACAGTAACAATGGCCGAAGCCCCCAATGACCGAAGCCCCCAAAGAGAGAGAGTAAACTCAATCTTCCCAGTCCCAAGACAAAGTCTAAACAGCCTGCTCCTTTCTCTCATCTTTATTCTATTTATAGTATTACAGACTAAAGAAAGGTAGTTATTAGCTCAAACAGAAATATAACTACAACTAACTCTTCTATTTATTAGTCTAATAGGTCGATCCCTATCAATACTTCCCCCCTAAACATCCACCTTGCCCTCAAGGTGGGTGATAGGGAACAGCCAAGATCTTCCGCTTCCTTTTCATTCTGGCGCTTTTACCTTCCCAATATTTCATTGGTTTCTGATCAAAGAACTTCAGTATTAGATCTTTACAACTCACTGATGTTTCTGCAGCATAGAATGTTTCTGGTGAAGTATCTTTTTCTTCCTTAGTCTTCAGGCCCTCAATAGCCACCAATATTTTCATGCTTTCCTGAGGTATATCCCTTATAAACGCGGCAGAATTTATATTCATGTCGTGAACATCAGGATTCTCATCCCTTTTAACCTGCTCATCAGAAATTTTGGAATTACAAATTGCTTCAAATCCATTTGACTCTTCTCCCTTTGAGTTATGCTTTACTGTCATAATGCTTTTCAGTAAAACACTGTCATCCACTGCTGCACTTTGAGTACACCCAACATCATTCCACCAATCAACTCCAATAGAAATACTCCACCAAAATGTCTCTGCCACTGCATGTTCCACAAAAGGAGAATCCATTTTTACCTGATTTTTTGAAACAGAGAGTGGAAGAACCCAAGCTATCTTCAAAATGGCCCAATCCTTGCTATTATGAAGCAACATAGAAACCCAGCCATACTTTGTGGACGAGAATACAAATTCGGCTCCTTCATTACCAAGTATATCAGCCATAATTCTGTGGTTCCATCGTTGCCTGTCCGATGAAGGAAGTCCGCTTTGTCTAAAAGAAATCCAATCCTTGATGTTGTTTATTCAGGTTGGAGAAATCATGAAGCCTAGAATCCAAATTGATGTAGCAGCATTCTTTGCGAGTTTTCCAAACAAAAACTTCTATGAAGAGAAAAGAATAACCGTTCATTTTCCTTGGTATTCTTCTGACCATAGCTGTAAGGAACAGGACAATACTCTTATACTCTTTGCAAAGCTTTAGCTTCTGCTCCTCTAGCTTATCACAACATCCTTCATCAAGAGAAATCACTTCCTCTAATTTACTGGCTTCTTCATGAAATCTTGGTTGAACCTTCACTGACCACTCAATGGCAGGGTTACAAGTATCAATCCTTCTCAGGTAAATACCTCGAGATATATGGATTGACTTCCCAGTTTGGTTTAACTTGACTTGAAGGTATTCATCAATTTGATGGCCACGTTTAATCGACCACATCATCTTGGTTTCCAATTCTGAATTACTTGTTGTTGGTGGAGTCCCTGGGAATCCCTCTTCTAATGTGACTACGTCAAAGTTTCTGGAAGCAGATGAATCTGGCGCAAGGTGAGAGACGACAAGCGAGAGTGAGCTGTGAGATCCGGCGGTTGAAGAAACCTGCGAACTAGGGACTTCTGCTCGTGTGGAAGCCAGAAGACCAGAAGACGTTGGTGACTGCAACGAAGCTTTGCTTTTCGAATTCCTGCAGCGACGCACAGTCCTCGATCGTCCTCGCCGGTGACGTTGCCGCAGCTTGGTGCGCATTTCGTCCAACCCTGTCCTCGTTTCCTTGCTCTTCGCACTTTTCTCCTTCTCCCGGTGTGAGCGCTTTTCCTTTTCTAGGGTTGCGTGCTTCTCTTTCTCCACTTTTCCGCGCTCAACCTTTTCTGCGAGCTTCCCTAATTTTCTGCGTGAATCCTCTCGTGAGTGCGAAACAGTTCGCGACTCCTTCTGCGACTTGATGAGCGAATGCGATGGACTCTGTTTATCAGAACGCCAATGATGCCTGTTGTTGCTCGATCTCTGCAATCTACGATTTAGACACTCACAGTCGTGCAAGATACTTTCAACTTAGCGTTCATCTCCTTGTATACCACTGACATCTCTTTGGTCTGTCGATTCAGATTGTCAAATCTTTCTTCCATTTGCGGTGTCATATAGAATTCCTCCATCGTTCCGATGATTCAGATTCTCTGTTTCCAGGAAGTAACGTTCTCTGATACTACTGATAGAGATATCCAGGAATTACAGAAAGATATCAAGAAAAACAACTGCAAGCTTTATTGAATCAAGAACAGTAACAATGGCCGAAGCCCCCAATGACCGAAGCCCCCAAAGAGAGAGAGTAAACTCAATCTTCCCAGTCCCAAGACAAAGTCTAAACAGCCTGCTCCTTTCTCTCATCTTTATTCCATTTATAGTATTACAGACTAACGGAAGGTAGTTATTAGCTCAAACAGAAATATAACTACAACTAACTCTTCTATTTATTAGTCTAATAGGTCGATCCCTATCATTCAACTCATCAAATTTCCTAACTCAAATAGTTAGAAGTATTCAATAATAAACAATTACTTATTAACTTATTATATACAAAAATCCCAAACTTCCAACATAAGACTAATTTGGGTTTACTGGGTTACAGTACTTATTCTAAAGCTCATCTGATTAGTAAATTTATATTTATTGGCTATTATTTTACTTTATACTCATCATGCTAATCCCAATCACAAAACCCTGTTGGTTATTAAAATTAATTTCCATTTACATTTGGTATGGCATTATGGTTATCTAAATGCGTCCTATTACGGTTAGTCAATCCCAAATATCCTATTACAGTCAACCCTTTGCGATCTTTGGATGTTGCTATTCATGTTCATGTATAAAGAAGACAATATGAAAAGGGTTGCCTTATGAAGGCAAGTTGTGGCAGATGATCCATGCTGGGTATCCCTGATTTCATTTTGGGAAATTTGTAGTGGTCTCGTTGAAGTAAAACTCACAAGATCTTTTTCCACTTATAACATTAATTGTTGATGCATAGTGCTATGCAATTGCCGTTTTCTAAATGGGAAGTTCTAGAACACCTATTTCAGGTAGTGTTCTAAAAGGTGGTAGGTGGGCGGCTCACATGGGTTTAGTGCCTAGGGGCCTAGAAGAAGAGTATTTGGTGGGTTATTGGGCCTAGGAAGGGTCTAGAGAACATATATTTTTAATATATTTTTTGTAGACTTTATAGCTTACAGTATTTTTAATATTGTTTTAACATGCTTATATGCTTTATATTATGTTTGAATTGCTTAATCAAGAGGTGCTTTCATATTGCAACACCCAACTTCAAGGGCAATAACAAGGCAAATATTCTACCAAAGTCTCCTAGAGGTCCTAGAGTAGAATTCATGAGGAACAAGTTGGGTTAAATGATTATATATTTATATGGTCTAGCTTGATGGGAGTTTTGGATGTGTATTTACGTGTATTGTGTAAACCTAGAATGGGCTTGGCCAATCTCACGTTTAATATTGTATACACATAAGGGCATAAGGCTCTCCTGCATATGTTTCAACACACAACACATTTAGTAATTTTTATGATGCTTATTGAAAGCCTCTTAGCAGGTTTTAACACACAACACATTGGAATATTATGATGCTTACTATTAAATTTCCATCACATTTTTAACAGGGCTCACACACCATGATAATTACCATGAGTTTTGTCGTCTTCTTGGACGTTTTAAAGTAAACTACCAGGTATTTCACTTCCTTTCTGATCCATACACTGTATAAACAATGTGTTCTTATTTCTTTTATTTGTAAAAGTTAAGGTTTCCGAAATCACTATGCGCTCATATGGTGCCAAACCAGCACCTAGTCTGACTAGTGAGTGCCTATTCTGTTGCCATAGCCTTACAATACTTCTAAAAAACACCCCTCCATCCCATTAGGTTTGGGATAAGGGCATATAAATTTAAGGAAAAATGGAATTGTGTGGTTAGTATTGATTTTGTTAGTAATTATGATTGTGAGCCACTAAATAGTTAAAGGATTCCTTTGTTAAATTTAGATATGTTATGATGTTATATAAACTCAATCATGTGAGACCTAGTATATATAGCTAAAGTTTCCTCGTCATTTTGGATTTTTAGAGAATTTTAGGATTCTCAGTTCCCACTTTGTTTCCTTATTCAGTACAAATGCCCCTGTTGTTCTAGTTGTAGATTTTGTAGCTTCTGTCTGAATGGCAGGTAGTAGCTCTTTGCCACTTGCCAATTGTTGTAAGAATTAAAGATAGAATAGTAATGAGAAGAATGATTTTTTGTGTGTCTTTCATTGGAGGGTCAAGCCCATATATATATACATTACAAAGATAGAATATTCCTTTAAGATTCTATACAATAATAATATCCTAGAGTATATTCCTAAAATATTCTAAAGCATATTCTAAAGATAGAAGAATATTCTAAAACATATTCTAAAGAATATTCTATAATGTCTTTCACACTCCTCCTCAAGTTGGAGCATAAATATTTATCATGCCCAACTTGTTACATAAGTAACCAACACGAATTCCATTTAGTGCTTTAGTGAACAAATCTCCAAGTTGCTCTCCAGTCTTTACATGTCCTGTAGAGATCAATCCCTGTTGTATCTTTTCTCGAACAAAGTGACAATCGATCTCAATATGTTTTGTTCTCTCATGAAACACTGGATTGTTGGCAATGTGTATAGCAACTTGGTTATCGCACCAGAGTTTGCATTGGTGTCTTCAATCCCATTTCACTCAATAAATGGTTTATCCAGATTATCTCACATGCCGATTGTGCCATAGCCCGATATTCTGATTCAGCACTCGAACGAGAAACCACATTCTGCTTCTTACTTTTCCAAGAGACGAGATTACCACCAACAAAGACGCAATAGCCAGATGTGGATCTTCTATCATCTTTAGATCCAGCCCAATCAGCATCTGCAAAGCATTCTATTCTCATGTGATTATGATTCTGATAAACAATACCTCGTCCCGGTCTCCTCTTCAAGTAACATAATATATGCTCTACAGCATTCCAATGATCCACTGTCGGAGATGACATGTATTGACTTACTACACTCACTGAGTATGCAATATCTGGACGGGTAACTGCGAGATAATTAAGTTTTCCAACCAACCGTCTATATCTTTCCGGATCTTCGAATGGCATACCTTCATGAGTGAGTTGTACATTGGGAATCATGGGAGTACTGCTTGGTTTTGCCCCCAATTTCCCTGTTTCAGTTAGTAAGTCAAGCACATATTTACGTTGAGATAGAAATATGCCTTTCTTACTCCGTGTAACCTCAATTCCCAATAAGTATTTCAATGAGCCCAAATCTTTCGTCTGGAATTGACTATGAAGAAAATTCTTTAGGGCCAAAATACCTGTATTATCACTCCCTGTAATCACAATGTCATCGACATACACCACAAGCAATGTAATACCTGTTTTCGTTTGTCTGTAAAATACAGAGTGATCTGATTTGCCTTTTATCATCCCAAATCGTTCAATTGATTGGCTTAATTTCCCGAACCATGCACGGGGACTTTGTTTCAAACCATAAAGAGACTTGCGAAGTCGACAAACTTTCCCATACTCCCCCTGAGCAACAAACCCCGTAGGTTGCTCAATATAAACTTCCTCCTGAAGATCACCATGCAAGAATGCATTCTTAATGTCCAATTGATGTAAGTGCCAACCATGAGTTGCTGCGAGAGAAATAAGTAATCTGACAGATGTTAATTTAGCAACAGGAGAAAATGTGTCAGAATAATCAACGCCATAGGTTTGAGCATAACCCTTCGCAACTAATCAGGCTTTCAATCGAGCAACGGATCCGTCAGGGTTAACCTTTACAGCAAAGACCCACTTACATCCTATAGACTTCTTCCCTGTAGGCAAGTCTACCAAATCCCAGGTACCATTAAGATCCAAAGCATTCATTTCCTCTACCATGGCATGATGCCAATCAGGATGAGACAAAGCATCTTTAACAGATTTGGGAACAGAAATAGAATCAATGGAAGCAATAAAAGAACATGAGGCAGATGATAACTGATTATACGACACACATGAAGAAATAGGATGAGTACAAGACCGTGTACCTTTACGTAGTGCGATGGGGAGATCAAGATCTGATGTAGAGACAGAATCTGAAGATGCAGGTGTCGGTTCAGGATATGAGATCGGATCAGTATCAGAAGAAGTAACCACAGGTGGAGGGTGATCTTGCACTTTGTGTCGACGGGTGTATACCAAGTGTATCGGAGGCCTAGGCTCAGGAAAAGTAACATGGGGGAGAACTGCTGAAGTATTGGACTCGGGTATAGTGACTGTGTAAATGAGTATATCATCATTCTCCCTACAGATATTTGTGTCTGTTGATGAAAATGGTGTATTTTCATAAAAGGAGACATCAATTGAAACAATATACCGACCTGTACTTGGAGAAAAACATCTGTACCCCTTTTGAACTCGAGAGTAGCCTAAGAAAATGCACTTTAATGACTTGGGATCTAACTTTGTTAAATGGGGATTAACATCTCGTACAAAACAAGTGCAACCAAAAACTTTAGGAGGAATAGGAAAATTTTCATTATTTGGAAATAGGCACTGATATGGAGTTTTACCATCTAAAACAGTAGATGGCATTCGATTGATCAAAAAACATGCGGTAGACACAACATCTGCCCAAAAATGTTTTGGCACATTCATTTGGAATAGAAGAGCCCGCGCAGTTTCTAATAGATGTCTGTTCTTTCGTTCAGCAACTCCATTTTGGGGAGGTGTGTCTACACATGAAGTTTGATGAATTATGCCATGTTGAGCCATATACAACTTAAATGAGGCAGACAAATACTCTTGAGCATTGTCTCCCCTTAAAATACGAACATGTACATTAAATTGAGTTTTGATTTCAGCACAAAAGGCACAAAAATGAGAAAATAACTCGGAACGACGTTTCATGAAATAAATCCAAGTCATACGAGAATAATCATCAACAAAGGTAACAAAATATTTAAAACCAGATTTGGACACAACAGGGCAAGCACCCCAAACATCAGAATGAACCAGTTTAAAAGGAGCATGTGCTCGTTTATTGACTCGAGGACTTAGACTACTTCGATGATGTTTTGCAAATTGACATGAATCACACTGTAAAGATGACACCTTATTGAATTGAGGATAAAGCTTCTTTAACAACGGAAGAGAGGGGTGACCTAGTCGATAGTGAGCCTCTAACACAATTCCAATGCCAAGACAAGAGATTGATTTGGGTAAGGATGTATCCAAGAGATAAAGACCGGCCGACTCATATCCTTTACCAATAACCTGATTCGTCAACAGATCCTGAAATACACAATATCTAGGAAAAAAGGTTACGGAACAATTAAGTTTACGTGTGATTTTGCTGATCGAAATCAAATTGAAAGCAAAATTTGGAAGACTTAGGACGGGTGACAAAGGTAAGGTAGATGTTGGGACAATTGTACCCGTACCAAGAACGGGTGACGTAGATCCGTCAGCCAAAGTCATACTAGAAGTATGAAGAGGTGTGTGGAATGAGGAAAAAAGACTAGGATTACCTGTCATATGATCTGTTGCTCCTGAATCGATAACCCATTTTGAGGATGAAGATACAAGACATGTGTTTGGATTACCTGAATTAGCTACATCTGAGATAGGAGTAGATGAATGCTTTAGAGCCTCCTGGTAACCTAGGAATTTGGCATATTCCTCCGAAGACATAATGATGGATCCATTAGATGGCTGTGTAGCGGAAGCAATGTGAGCGACTTGATTTCCTTGATTTTTGAACTTTAGCTTTCGACAATCTTTGATCAAGTGTCCGGGTTTCTTACAGTAGTTGCATACTACTCCTTTGCCAATCGGTCCTGTGCGTGGCCACTTCTCACCTCCATTGGGGAATGTTGGGACTTGCCCTACAAAAGCATTACTTGGCTGAGGTGCCGATGATGTGGATGAAGTGTCAGTGCGAAGCACTCTTCTGAAAGCATCTTGAAGAGAAGAGACCACATCACTAGATAGGATATGTGATTTGGCTGTTTCAAAATCAGACGTAAGACCGGCCAAAAAGCTCATGACTGCCATTTGTTCGCGTTGTTTCTGCTGCACTTTGATATCAGGACTAAAGGGCATTAAGGTATTAAGTTCTTCATACGTTTTCTTGAAATCCATAAAATCAGCTGTGAGAGGCTTATCTTTCATTTCTGCCCTGTAAAAGGCTTTGCACACCTCATAGATGTGGTTAAGATTACCTTTGCCAGAATACATAAATTCCAAATAATCAAAGAGTTCTTTCACAGTATCACAATGACTAACATACCCCATGACGTCATTCTCCATGGAGTTCTGAATCTGGATAAATAATCTAGAATCATCACGAAGCCAGACAGCATTAGCAGCTCTATCAATCTCCTCCTTTGGCGGGTCATCAACCAAGTGGGTGTATTTATCAATGCTTCGTAAATAACGTTTGATAGTTTTACTCCATTCAAGATAGTTAGAGCCACAAAGTTTATTCTCAGTAATTTTAAAATTAATGGGAATAACTTCGGAAACTACCAAAGGCTGAGCATGTTGTACGGTGGAAGTGTCTGTATCAGAACCAGGCATTTTTTTTTTTGATTTTTTTTTTGACTTTTTTTTTTGACTTTTTTTTTAATTGCAGAAATAAGATGCTATGTATTAAGTAAACTTACAGCGACCAAAATACTATCCTTGAATGTCGTTGTTACTTAATAAGCAAAGTCACAGAAAGATAATACCGTTCAAGACACCGGAAAATAGTTCCGATGGATTCTCCGGCAATTGGGTCTGCGATTAGGTCTGCGAGGTCCTCTGACGGCGCGTGTGGCCTGCGGATTTCGAGTGTAAGGTCGGCGGCGGAAGGCGTGACTGCTTAGGGTGGAGGTGATGCTCTGTGAAACTGTGGATTTTGGACTGAGGTTCTGAATTTTGGGCTAAGGTTCTGGCTGAGGCATGAACTGAGATTCTGAAAAATACTGCTAAGCTAAACTGGAACAGATTGCTCTGATACCATGTTGTAAGAATTAAAGATAGAATAGTAATGAGAAGAATGATTTTTTGTGTGTCTTTCATTCGAGGGTCAAGCCCATATATATATACATTACAAAGATAGAATATTCCTTTAAGATTCTATACAATAATAATATCCTAGAGTATATTCCTAAAATATTCTAAAGCATATTCTAAAGATAGAAGAATATTCTAAAACATACAACAACAACAACAACATCCAAGCCTTAGTCCCAAAAGATATTGGGGTCGACTAACATGAATCGATACATGATATCACAACCAAAAGGAAAAGAAGGAATAAAGATAAAAAGATAAGCTATTATGAAAAGATAATATAAAAAAGATGAATATATATATATATATAAATGATAAAATAAAAAGGTTGCAAATAATGCTTATAAATATATATATATATATAAGGATAAAAAAAAACTACGAAAAAAAAGATGAGGGAAAAAAATTATCAAGATCACTCCTTCACGTGAATACCCGCCCTCCACTTAGTTCTCTCCAAAGTCATGCCCTCATCCAACCCCAGAAAAAGCATATCACGTCGAACTCCCCTAACCCACGTCTGTTTGGGTCTTCCTCTCCCTCTCTTCCCTGCCTCTTGTCCACACATCTCAACTCGCCTAACAGGTGCATCACTCGGTCTTCTACGCACATGACCAAACCACCGTAGACGCGACTCCCGCATCTTGTCTTCAATAGGTGCTACTCCCACCCTTTGTCTGATTGTCTCATTCCTCACGCGGTCCTTCCTAGTATGCCCACACATCCAACGCAGCATGCGCATCTCTGTCACACTCATCTTATGAATGTGACATTGTTTCACCGCCCAACACTCTACGCCATACAGTAATGCAGGCCTAATTGCTGTCCTATAAAATTTACCCTTCAGTCTAGTCGGCATACCTCGGTCGCATAGAAATCCTGACGCACTCTTCCACTTCATCCACCCTGTTCTGATTCTATGGGATACATCTCCATCTAACTCACCGTCCTTCTGAATTATGGAGCCCAAGTAACGGAACATATCGCTGACCGGTATCTCCTTACCATCCAGAGTAATTCCGCTATTACCACTACTTCTACCTCCACCAAACTTGCACTCCATGTACTCTGTCTTGCTCCGACTTAGTTTGAAACCCTTATTCTCCAATGTTTGTCGCCATACTTCCAACTTTGCTTTAAGACCTGATTGCGTCTCATCAATCAATACAATATCGTCGGCAAACATCATGCACCACGGTATATCGTCTTGAATTGACTTCGTAAGTTCATCCATGACTATGGCAAATAAGAAAGGACTCAAGGCCGATCCTTGGTGCACTCCGATAGTAATAGGGAACTCTTCAGTCCTCCCTACACTAGTACGAACACTTGTAGTACAATCCTCATACATATCCATGATGATGCTGATATACTTGCGTGATATGCCTTTCCTAGTTAAGGCCCACCAAAGAACTTCTCGAGGTACCCTATCATATGCCTTTTCTAAGTCAATGAACACCAAATGCAGATCCTTATGAGCATCTCTATACTTCTCCATAAGTTGTCGAAGAAGGTGAATGGCCTCAGTTGTTGAGCGACCAGGCATAAAACCGAATTGATTTTCTGAAATCTTCACAGTCCTTCGAAGTCTTTGCTCAATCACTCGCTCCCAAAGTTTCATGGTGTGACTCATAAGCTTAATCCCTCGATAGTTGGCACATTCTTGTACATCACCTTTATTCTTAAATAAGGGGATAAGAGTACTCTTCCTCCAACTCGTTGGCATCTTGTTGTTTCTCCAAATCATGTTGAAGAAACTTGTTAACCACTCGACGCCTCTCTCTCCCAAACTTCTCCAAGCCTCGATCGGTATGCCATCTGGCCCCATTGCTCTTTTCCGTCCCATCTTCCTCAGAGCTTCTTTAACTTCCGTTGTTTGGATCCTTCTCACAAAATCACGGTTTACCATACAATCTGGTATGGACAAATCGCCGATATCTTGCGTTTTGTTCCCGTTGAATAGTGTATCAAAGTATGACCTCCACCTTTCTTTTATCTCTCCGTCGTCCATTAATATCCTCTGATCAACATCCTTCACACACTTAACTTTTGCAATATCTTGAGTTCTGCGATCACGAAGACGAGCAAGTCTATAAATATCTAGTTCTCCTTCCTTAGAGTCCAACTTTTCATACAACTCCTTGTTCACTTTCCCTCGTGCTTCCCTTACGGCTTTCTTTGCTTTTCTTTTAGCCTCCCTGTATGCTTCTATGTTCTCATCACTCCAATTTGTCCCCAACTTTTTGTAGCAATCTCTTTTGTTCCTTATGGATTGTTTCACCTCATCATTCCACCAAGATGTGTCCTTTTTAGGTGGCCGACATCCTTTAGATTCTCCAAGTACCTCCTTTGCCACTTTGTTAATGGTCAACTCCATTGATAACCACACATCATCCACATGTGTTTCATTATCAATACGCCATACATCTTCACCGACCATTTTGTGTGTAAAGCTTTGTTGAAGATCTCCCTCAAGCCTCCACCACTTTATCTTTGGTTCCACTTGTTGTTTAACTTGTCTTCTATGGTTCTTACCTCGAAAGTCAAGCACAAGCATCCTATGCTGAGTGACAACACTCTCACCTGGAATAACCTTACAATCAGTGTAGCTAGTTCTCCAAGTGGTCCGTACTAAGAAGTAGTCAATTTGGGTACTATTAGCTCCACTTTTATAGGTTACAAGGTGAGAGTCTCTTTTCTTAAACCAAGTGTTCATTATAGCCAACTCATACGTCAAGGCAAAATCCAAAATGTTCTTTCCCGCCTCATTCCTAGTGCCAAAACCATGTCCGCCATGAATATTCTCAAAGCCATCACGACTCGAGCCCACATGCCCGTTGAGGTCACCTCCTATGATCAACTTCTCTCCCCTTGGCACTCGTCGCACCACGTCCTCAAGATCTTCCCAGAACTGTTGAGTTGTAGATGTATCCAATCCCACTTGTGGTGCATAGGCACTTACCACAGACACAATCTCACCTCTTATCACCAATTTAATGCTCATGATGCGATCGTTCTTCCTGAAGACTTCTACCACATCCTCAACATAGTCACGCGCCACAATAATGCCTACCCCATTTCTAGTCTTATCTCTCCCCGAATACCACAACTTAAAACCTCCGGGATTAATCTCGCGTGCTTTCTCACCAACCCATTTAGTTTCTTGCACACACATAATGCTGATATTCCTTCTGCTCATAACCTCGACTACCTCGGAAGATTTGCCTGTAAGAGACCCAACATTCCATGTCCCAAAACGCAATCTAGCATTCCACCTTCTGTTCTTAGCCCCATCTCGGACCCCACCATGCCCTTGCCTATTTGACATCATCCCCGGGCAATGGGATGACGCGCCGCTTCTGGGCGGCGACCTAGCAACCTTAGCATTCTTTTCACCACACCCAGGTCTATCAAGTGTAGCGCGCCCTTGCATATTTGACACCACCCCAGGCGGAGGGATGACGCGTCACTTACGGGTGACGACCTAGCATTAACGATATTCATATTTCGATTCATGTCATGTGATGTGACTAGGTGATACTGTTGGCCGTCACACGCCTACCACAGCACCCTCCTCCTTTATCCTGGCTTGGGACAGGCATGATACCAAAAAAATGATATCATGGCGGAGTTAAGAATATTCTAAAACATATTCTAAAGAATATTCTATAATGTCTTTCACACCAATTGTGCTTTATGGGCATTGTGACGTCATTCCGACGCGACCGAGGCCTTTCAATTTTTAAGATTTTCCATTATGCAGAAATGACGTCATGCTGCTTCCATTTGGTCACTCTATCATATCTAAACAAGAAAACATATAGGGAGGGGTTCATACATTTGATAATGAGAACTCATGCATGAAATTGACCTACTGACCTGTCAAGGTTTAAGGGGTTCATATATATATATTGATTATGAGAACTCATGGATGAATATTGAATAGAAAGTTGGCATCCTTTCATGTTCTATACTATTCCTGGGTACATGCTTGCTATTAATGTGGTTTTCTAATTTTGTTACAGATCCAAGAGCTTGTACATGCTGAATGCTATGGTGATTGGATACGTCTAGTGGCTGAATTTACTATGAAATCTATACAGTCATGGCAGGTTGGCCATTTTTATATTGGTCTTCGATAATTTTTGGATATCATCTTGTAATATTTCTGACTATATATATAAATCTTTGCTGCAACATATGCTGAAAAATCGCTATCCTGATCAGTGGGCCAGTCGCAGTGTTTACTACCTCCTTGGGCTCTGGTCTAGATTGGTGTCATCTCTACCATATTTGAAGGGAGACACTCCAAGCCTACTTAATGAGTTTGTACCTGAGATTGCAAAGTGTTATATCACATCAAGATTCAATTGTTTTCAGGTTAGGTGCTTTTGATTTTCACCAGGCTATATGACTTTATCCTATTAACATCTTTTTCCCGTATAATATATTGCTTAGTTGGTTCAGGCTGGACTTCCTGATCCCTCAGAGAATCCCCTTGATAATGTGGAACTTTTACAGGATCAGCTTGAGTGTCTTCCTTACCTTTGTAGATTTCAGGTCATTTTAAGATTCAAACAGAGAATACTAGTAAAATTTCGAACTAAATTTGGTCTGCTTACCTCTGATGAAGATATTTTTGTGAAACTTGGGTTTTTGAGTGCAGTATGAGAGCTGTAGCTTATATATTACACAGATTACAGATCCACTTATACAGTTGTATATGGTAGATACATACTACTAGTCAATTTTCTAGATGTTTCTTAAAGCCTTCCGTGTCTGTTTCAGCATTTTTGTTTTTATTTAAAACAGGAAGCAAGTGAACTCCAAGTCATTTCTGTGGTCGAAACTAAACTGGCTTGGATAGTGCATATAGTTGCAGCTATTATTAAAACAAAGCAACTTAGTAATTACAGGCATGTATTTTCTTGTAAATGTGGGATATTTTAAGCACAGTTTGTTTCTTATCTATTTGCTCATCTCACTGTTGTTTTCTTTCCAACTCTTCTTTTCTAAATTAGTGGGGAATCACACGAAATTCATGATGCTGAGCTTTCAGCACGTGTTCTTCGGCTGATAAACATTGCCGATAGTGGATTACACACTCAGGTGCAGTCATTTCTGCTAACATTGTGTCCTTCCGGAGACAAGTACACTAAAGATGTCTTTGGCATGATCTTTTGCTCTGGCAGCAACATAGTGTTTAAGTTTTATAATTGACTACCACACATCTTCCTCTAATGAAAGGCTAATCTGGATAGAGCATGATGAGAGTGCTCTTTGTGATCAATGTTAATTTCATGCTACTTCTTTTCTGTACTTGCAACTGTCAGAGATATACTGAACCAAGCAAACAGCGGCTTGACAAGTCTATTCTCATCTTCTTTCAAAACTTTAAAAGTTCATATGTTGGAGATCAAGCAATTCATTCTTCAAAGGTCAGTCTATTTCAAAATTTTGAGAGTAACCCTAGGCCCCGGATGCTTGTAATGCTGAGCTCCTTGTTGCTGTTTGTTTATTCAGACTGTTTCTCTTGCAGCAGTTATATGCTAAATTGTCTGAACTTCTTGGGCTTCATGATCATATGCTGATCTTGAATTTCATTGTGGGAAAGATTGCGACCAATCTTAAATGCTACTTCGAGGTAATTGTTATAGTAGAAATGTTGCCTGTCTTTCTCATTTCTCATAGACATTCATTATTCAATCTTGTCTTCTAGGGTGATGAAGTTGTTGACCAGAGTTTAAATCTCATGCTGGAAATGGCTTCGGGGTCAGTGTCTTTCCAATCTTTCCTCTCAAAGTGCCTTTGGTATCTACCTACTAATAGCTTGTAAAATAATTTTGGGAATTCGAATGGTATGCTTTCATTATGACTGTTGTTAATATTCAACATCATGCAGATATATGACTGCAAAGCTTCTTTTGAAGTTGGATACTACTCAGTTAATTATCTCTAATCGTAATGTCAGTACACCAATATATGCACATTACATAACTCTTCTGTAGAATGTGTTTCATTGACATAGATGGCTTAGATTGTGTTTTACATGCACTTCTTTTGTGTATTCAGAGGGAACAGTTCCCTTTTTTAAGGGATCACGGGGGTTCTCGCTGCAGAACAACATTTTATTACATTTTGGGTTTGTTGATCTTCATGGAAGATAGCCTTATGAAATTTAAAGCATCAATGGATCCACTTCTACAGGTGTGGGAGGACAAGTTTACCTTCTTTCTTACATTTAATAGCATCTGTTGAATATAGTTAATATTGAGATCACCTTAGCATGTAATTAGTACACATACTGCCGCCTAGCTACTCTACAATTTACATTTGCAAAAAAACAGCCTCCGAACATCTTTGGCTATCTCTTGTTAGGTATCTAACAATTTCACTAGAGATTTCAAGAATCAAAGATGAAGAAAAGAGATGTCGTATAACAGAAAGTATAGAAAGAGAAATACACAGGCAGTTAAAGAGTGCCCACTCTCCAAAATCCCAGACCCAAATAACAATTCCAACCTCCTTTCTATTCTCCCTCACCCTCTATTTATACTAACTATTCTAATATTATTATTATTCTTATTATTATCAGTGCTATTCTACTGGAGTCCTATCATATCTCCCCCCTTGAACATCCACCTTGTCCTCAAGGTAGGTGATAGGAAACCAACTTGACCTTCAACTTTATCTTCATCCTGGCGCCTCTCCCTTCCCAGTACCTAACTGATTGTGGGACCATGAACTTCATTGCCTGGAGAACACACTGATTGTTGGGATCTTTGTAATTGTTTTGATCTTTGTCTTCAATTTCCTTCTTTGGATGTACTGGCTGGCCTAGTTCTATTAAGCACAAAGCGAGTTCTTCCCTATTTTCACATGAGGTTTCACCTTCCCATTTCTCAGTATTTTGATGAATACCCAAAGATGCCTGGCAGCTTACAAACACCACAACCAATTTAGATCCTGCTGCCATGTACTGCCGGATGCATACAGGGGAATTGGCAAGCGAAGAGAGAACTGCACATTGATACCCATCAACACTTGGGAAAAAAGAAACTTCAGTGTTGGGTTCATTGATCAAGTATGTTGTTTTCTCAGGGCCAGAGCTAAGCCTGTAATAGTAAAATTGGCAAGATTCTTTACCAATAACAACACTCAAAGAATTAGTGGCAGAATCTAGAGCTGTTATTGCTGCACTAATACTAAGGCTCTCCATACCATTCACACTATTTCTACAAAGTGACATGTGAGCCATGTGAATTTTTCTTTCAACAATGCTACCCGGATCAAATTCATCATCCCATCTTAATCTGGAATCAAAGAAGTCCCAATTTACAGAAAATACCCCTTTGCACCCTTCAACCCCAAGAATCAAAAACTGGTCATGACTTTCAACAATATCAACGCACCTCTCCATCCATCTCCTATTACTAATTGCTCTCAACATACTGTCACATTCTTGATCCTTATCTCTTTTCCTGAGAACGTTGAGTCGTGGACCAGCACTTGCCATATGAAATCTGTAATCAAAATCTAAACCTCTATCTTGAACAATTATACAAACTAATGGCAGTCCCATAACCACTTCACCAACTTTAATGGCCTCAGAGGAATGACCAAGAGTGAGATCTTTAACAAACATCAGATACATGACAACTTCAACACCGGTAACATATCTCTCATATTCTGTAGTATTCCCAGTAATTCCTCCTTCCAACCCATTTTGAGTATCCATCATAGAAGTAACACCCTCATATATGAAACTATCAAACTTGTTCAATGACTTCAGCCCTTCCAAAGTAATGTTTAATGAATGATAGTACACCATTTCAGACTTTAAAACATTAGGCCAGTTCATCTCCTGTACGAACCTAGAAGTCATCTTGGACTTTGCCACACAAGCATCAGTGTTACATGTGTGTAGAATCTTGAAAATATTGGTTTCCGAATCTGACTTGACAGACTTGTATTTGAGAAAATGAGCAATTGTGCCAACTTCCGGTCCAATGTTCACTGCCAATTTTTCCGCGCTTCCCTCATCACCCTCAGTGACTTTCTCTGCCCTAGGCGATGAAGAATAAGCTCGCGAAGAAGTCTGAGAACTGGAAACATCTACTCCAGATGAAGCTTGCAAACTGGGAAAAAATGTTGGCGAGGAATCCTGCGAAAAACTGAGTGTAGCTGTTTGTGAGGAAGATGGTGAACAGTAAGAATGGACGGGTGATGAATATGAGTGGTAAAGATCGGCGAGTGAGGAATCCATCGAACTTGGAAATTCTCCTATCGATTGCGTCGCATTTTGACGGGAAATGAGAGCTGATGAAGGATTCTGGGAAAAAATCTGCGAAGAAACCTGCGAACCGGGAGGAACTGTTCGCATCTGCGAACGGGAAGGGACTGTTCGCAAGTGCGAACTGGGCTCTTGTGCTTGCGACGATGCGGACGGACTGCGAGAAGAAGTTTGCGACCAATCCTGCGAACTCAAAGAAACGGTTCGCGACTGCGAACTGTGAGACGAAGTTCGCGACTTACCTCTGGCTTCAGACGATGTAGGACTCTCATGTACAGTGTGACGCCTTGAAGTTCTTGATTTTCTTCGTTCATGTCGAGCGTTCTGCTGCAGGATCAATTCGCGCCATTCCGCCATCTCTTTCCGCCTTTCCTCGCGATAGCGTTCAAAATTGCGTTCCAGGATCTCCAGTCTACTTTCCATCGTTCCTTGAGTAGCTGACGCTCTGATACCAATGGTAGGTATCTAACAATTTCACTAGAGATTTCAAGAATCAAAGATGAAGAAAAGAGATGTCGTATAACAGAAAGTATAGAAAGAGAAATACACAGGCAGTTAAAGAGTGCCTACTCTCCAAAATCCCAGACCCAAATAACAATTCCAACCTCCTTTCTATTCTCCCTCACCCTCTATTTATACTAACTATTCTAATATTATTATTATTCTTATTATTATCAGTGCTATTCTACTGGAGTCCTATCATCTCTATTTGATCATGCATTTGAGGTCATGTATAACTCAGATTTCCTAAGAAATGCAATACTTTTTTTGCTGATTATTCAACAGACTCAAAATACCATGAAGGCATGGAAGGATTTATTATGTTGTACTTAAAGTGTTGCTTTACTTACCAGATCACAAACCTACAAGGCTACAATGATGAATTATTATTGATTTTGATTTTTGTACATAATTCATATCTTGTCCCAATATATTCTTAATATTGAAATTCTGATAAATATATGTTTCAAACTTTATCTTGCTTTGTCTGAGTGACATTGACTAACTGAAGGTTTTCCTGAGTTTGGAATCAATACCTGATTCATTATTCCGCTCCGATGATGTGAAACAAGCTTTAATTGGACTGATGAGAGATCTTAGAGGAATTGCAATGGCTACTAGTAGGTTAGTTTTACTGTAATGTTGTTTGTGCTTGGGTTACTAGTAGGTTGTTAGTTATAAATGGTTCTGTTTTAGTATATACTTTTAAGTTTCTTCACTGAATATATACAGTCGAAGGACCTATGCTTTCCTATTTGATTGGCTATATCCAGCGCATATGCCCCTTATCTTGAAAGCCATCACTGTATGGGCTGATGCTCCCGAGGTCAGATCAATTTGTGATTTTATCTCTGTTTTCTGAAATTTTGTTTCAATTTTCAATGAAAGTTTTCTTAAAATAAGTGTTTGATATAGTTCTCATAGAGGCTTAGAAAATCTTATCTCTTCCAACTTAGGAGATTTTGCAGTATATTGGTTCCACACTTCCATTGCAATGATGCGTGATCACATTCAATTATAACACAGGTCACAACACCAATACTCAAATTTGTTGCTGAGTTTGTTCTGAACAAGTCCCAACGCCTATGTTTTGAAACATCATCGGCCAATGGAATACTACTTTTCAGGGAAGTCAGCAAATTGATTGTTGTGTATGGGTCGAGATTGCTTTCTCTTCCCAGTCAGGTGGATGTGTATCAGTTCAAGTACAAGGGGATATGGATTTCCCTTACTATTCTTGTAAGAGGTAGGATGAGTCCTGACTTTTGAGAACTTGAAACTATTTCTTTTGCAAGAAGACCTTACAAAGTATTGGGAACTGCTGAAAACTGTAAACTTCATATTAGCAGATAATAAGGATATACTTATCTGTGCTGTCAACACATATAAGTTTATGGTGAAAAGCTTAGAGCCTTGCATTATTGTTTGTGGCTTTGTGTTTTTATATCCATTTCTTGGCACCGTTTATATACTCTCAAATGAAGTATTGGCAATTATATGTCGAAGTATTAGCTTTCCTAGCCTTCCATGTGCTACCTTGGCTTCCTCTGAGCAGTTCTCGGCTACCCTAATCCGTATTCCCTAGTAAAGCTGTACATGATTGCACATCTATATCATCTTGGCAATATATAATCGTTATACTCTTTCACTTACAGTTGTAGATTTGCAAAAAATGGTATATCAATTTTTGGTCATGTTCTATGATGTGCATGCTGATAACAATACACATATTGTAAGGAAACAACTACAACAATTATCTCAACTCATTGTTGTCTCATGACATTTTCTACTCAAGTGGGGAATGATGACGTTTTTGGAATTTCACATCATTTTTCTTCTTTAGAAGGCTGCGGCAATTAACTACCACAAAGATGATTGTTATGAGGAGATATATAGACCCTAACAATAGTGAACTTGGTCAATTTTGTATTTCTTGTGGTATAAGTAGGTGAACCTGTATACACTTTCATACTTTCATACCATTGAATAGTAATTTCCTCTCATACAGTGTTTCCAAATTGTGGCCATGGCCAACAGATTGCTTTGAAATAGTGGTGGAAAAAAAGGGTTGTGAATGGTGGGCCACGGCAGCTGCTATCCCTTGTTGCCCCCATGGTGGATATTGGAATAACCGAATAACAAATTCATAAATCGGACTGAGCCAGGCGAACTGTCCCAAAATATAACTTACCCTAAATCACAATGCTTGCAACCTATTCCCTTTCGGATTTCCTTCTTCTCCCTCCCAACCTTAACTCAAGTAGCAAGCTATTCTTCTCTACCACAATTTATGTTGGATAACACCTGATCTTGGCTCTGCTATGGGATAAATGCGCATATACCCTTTTATTAGTCTCACCTACTTATAAAAAGGGATTGAGATGCTTACGTTATACGGATAATTTTTTTTGTTTCTTTTGTGTATCTGATGTTTTTCCCCACAATTTTCTGATTCATTAATAAAATCTTTTTCTTATGCATCAAAACATTAGTACATCATTAGAAGTAGAAGAAAAAGGAATGCACTATTACGAGGACATAATATATCATATAACAGAAAGGAGTAAAAAATTATGAATATATCATATAACGGAAAGGAGTAAAAAATCAAGACTGTAGCAAACCTGTAAAGAAAATGATAGAATACATTATCATCATATCATCATCATCATTACCCCAGTGCCATAAAGACTCCCACCTATGGTGGGGTAAGGGTGGTCGGATGTACGCAGTCTTACTCCAAACACATAGAGACTGTTTCCAGATGACCCATAGTGAATCGCGTCAAAAATTGCATCGATTGACTATTGCTTCATAACAAAAAAGCGCACTGTGTAGTGAGTCACTTTGCTTTATTCCATCATATTCCTAAGCCAAAAAATAGCGAGTCTTTGGCTCCATAGCAAATGATGGATAAAAGAAATTTCATTGAATGAGAAGAAGATTTACCATTTAGTGTTTTCTGTGATCGCTGCTACATCTGATGTATTTTAGTATTTTTAAGTGATTCTTAACGTATTTAATGAATTCACTTTATGATAAGGAACATGATTAGTCTTTATTTCACTTGAAGCTTCCTGTATTACCTCTGTATTCTTACACCATTTTTTTATGATAGCCCTTTGTGGTGACTATGTCAACTTTGGAGTATTTGAGATATATGGGGACAGAGCACTTGCTGATGCTTTAGAAACTGCTCTGAGGATGGTTTTGTCTATTCCGTTGACTGATATACTTGTATACAGAAAGGTATGTCATGTTTGACTGCTGATATGATACTAAACATCTTTATTTGATTAAAACCTCATTCTGCTAGTAATACTATTCCTCTGTAGTTCTTCATATGTGTGCATGTGACAATTGGATAGATTAGCTCATGTTGGCTGGCTAAGCAACTTTTTTGGGATTAAGGATGTTTTTAATTGGACTGAAGTTTTCTGGTTTGGTCTAAACTGGTTTGGTCTTGTATGATAAATGTTCAAGTCTGGTCTGGGACTGAAAACAGTCCTAGTAAAAACATCCCAAACCCTTATGCTGTAAGTAATCTCCAAAGGGTGTTTTATGATTCTTCGTATGTATGTGTACTGCAATTGAGTCATCAACTCCTTTTGGATGAGATTCACAAAAAGATACTCCCTCTGTCCTATAATGTAAAATACATTTGTGTTTGCCCCGGGTTGTCCAAAAAATATGAACACTTTCACAAATGTATTTTACATTATGGGACAGAGGGAGTATCTTTTTGTGAATCTCATCCAAAAGGAGTTGATGACTCAATTGTATTACACATACATACGAAGAATCGTAAAACATACGTATGTGTAAAATTGTTTTTTACTAACCTCCCAAAAGGTAAGAAAAAGAAGGATGCGTCAATATAAGTAAAAAGATGAAATGATAGGAAGGATTAAGCTGGAAATAAAAAGTGAGGATTTTGGCTTTTCTTTTAAGAAAGTGTTCATATTTTTTGGACAACCCAAAAAGGAAAGTGTATCTTACAAAATGGGACTGAGGGAGTACAATTCAAAGTTTTTTGGGATATTATCAGTTATCACTTAGATCTATGAGTCTTCTGAAAGTTGTGAGGTATCTAGACTTTCTTGATCATTGCCTGTGGAATGACCAACAGCTTCTGCGGTTCAAATAATCAGCGCGAAAACAGTTAAAATCTGACGATCAGTGCAACCGAGCTAATTTATACACCCCAAAAGAAAACACTTCCTTATTCAATAAAATAAAGAAAGGGTGTGTTTGTATGAGATAAATCCTGTATTGTTATTAGTTTGTTCCCAAAATAATTTTGCAGAGTCCAGCTTTTTTTGCCAGCTCACATTTCAAAATCAACGGTTCTTTCAGCTCTATGCTCTATGCATGCTTTTATAAAGGATCCTATCTTATCTAGTTTATTTCATTAAATTGCTATTATAATAGTGTATTTTTCAATTTCTTCACCTCCCTTGGAGCTTCCTTTGAAATGAAAAAACATTTGCAGCTGGCAGCAGCCTACTTCACATTTCTGGAGGCTCTTATGAAAACACAGATTTCGTTCATTTTGAATTTGGATACAAACAACTTCATTTTTATTGTTGGATCTCTGGAGTCCGGTCTTAAAGTACTGGATGGAAATATCAAGACACAGGTCTGTGCCTGCTAACGTATTAGTTTTTGTTTATCTCTTTCTCAATAATAATCTCATTTCCTTGTTTACGCATTTCAGTGTGCATCTGCTGTGGACCATTTGGCGACTTTCTATTTTGAATGCATAACATCTGGAGAGATACCTTCATCTCCAGTCACTCTCAAACTCGCTCAGCATTTCTCAGATTGCCCTAATATTTTTCTTGAAGTAGGTTTACTTATCTTTTCTCACGTACCATCTATATGCAGCGTCTTATGCATTGAGTTTGTGTGAAAGGCTCATCTGGATTTTCCTCCCATGTCATTTTGATTCTTTTATTCAAAAATATGCTTGCTACTAATGTTGTGCTGAAACAATTCATTTTTGTTTTATGCTCTTTACAATAACTTTTTGAGCAAGTAGACAAGCAGGGAAAGTCTCCTGTATGTAGTCCTTGTGGACTTTATAAGCCGTCATTTTGGCTTCTGGATACTAAACTGGTACAAAATACTCAATAATTGTAGTAGCATGTGCTATAGATGCTTCTGTTGATTCTTACTCAGAACATAAAGTGTAGTTAAAACTTCTTTTGATTACTTTATAAGCCATGATTTTGATTACTTTAAACTTGTAATAAATACCAATAAGTGAAACTAGAAAGAATGACCCAAATATTATTAGTAGAGTTTCAGTGGACAAAAATATCACTAATTTCATTCGGGCAAAAATATGACTTATTGATCTGCCTCATCACTTCCCCCCTCCAGCAGCCCATCACTTTACCTTTCCCCTGGGAACATCCAGAATTCCAGATCTGCTTCCCTCATTTGCTTCTTCCAGGGCGACGGAAGACAATGAGAACCGGCAACAACAGTGACACTCCGGCGGCGGCAACTGGCTGACTCCACCTCCGAAACCTCTGCTGACTCCGCCGCCTAACTCTCCTTCTTCTGCTTTCTTTGTTGTACGCAAACTAACTTTGCCGAAATATCGATCTGCGACGAAGTTCCAGATTTGGCACTCCATCGCCTTCTTCATTGATCCCTCGACGACTGTTGTTTCTAACGGCGATATTCTGGGGCCAGGGTGGTGGCAGTTCATTGGCGAGTCAGTGGCGGCGTCGGGTGAGCGTCGGCTAGGGTTAGGTCTAGGTAGTGGGGGCAGTGTTGGGCGTCGGCGGCTAGGGTTAGGTTTGGGGGTACTGGGGGGCGGCGTTGGGCGACCGCACGACTGGGTCGCGGCAACTGGTGCACAGGGGGCTATGAAGTTTGGGGCGTGGGTTGGGGTGGGGTGGTGCAGTGATGGTGGGGTGGGGCAGTGGCAGTGGTGCGAGGGCTGGGGAGTGGTAGGGGGTGACGGTGGTGCAGGGGTTGACGAGTTGTGCTACCGGGACTGGGTGTGGTTGTCACAAGCGGGGTTATGGTGGTAACTGGCCGGACGGTGGTGGTCGTTGGGTTTCTGCTGTCTGTACTGGGTGTCGCTCTGCCCGACGTGGTTACTGGCCGGAAGGCGGTGGTTCTAGCCAGAGGCGATGGTCATTGGCCGGAAGGCAGGGTGACTGTGGCCGGTGTCAGTGTGTTAGTGACATCCGTAACTCCGTAAGTGACATAAAAATCTGATAGTGACATGAAACAGTAATATATATGACCTTTTAATGACACATTAAAAGTTGCAGTGACATGTTTTCCAAATATATGACCTTGTTAATCACATTTTTGTCAATATTTAAAAGTGGTCACATTTTTTGAAATTGACTTCAATTTAGTAAACTCTTTGTCCTGCTAAGATTGTCCCATCTTTCCTTTTCGGTCTGTCCCACTAAGAGAGTGTTTGCAAGAGCTTGTGCTTTTGAGAAGTGATTTTTAAGAGATTATTGAAAAAGGGCTTTGTAGTAAAAGTTGATAGTGTTTGGAAACGAAAGTGATTTTAATTAAAATGTAAAAGTTGAAGTGTTTGATAAAAAAGTGATTTTTGGTGTAGTATATTGTTAAAATACATAAATATCCTCAAATTATTAAAAAGACAACCACCCACTCGAATATCCCCACTGCTGCCCCTTTTTCTCTTCCCCAATCTGCCTGTATTATATATACACCCACACTTGAAGGATCGGAAGAGAGGTGAGCCACCGCTGCTCACCAGCACTCCGGCAACCTAGCTACAGTCTACTGCTTCAAGACGAGGGCCCAAGCGGATAATCACACCATGGATGGTGGCAGATGGTGCATCGCCGGCGTCGCGGTTGGTAGTGATTGGTCGCCGCATTCAAAGTCCAGCCGGCCAGTTAAAGCAATCCGTGTGACTAGCATAGTAGTGTGAGGACCATCCAGCACGATGGGATTTTCATACGGAGTAATAAACAATGGGAAGTGTATTTTGGGGTTTCAGGGATTTGTCTACCTAATAACTATCATAGATGCTTGAAATATTTACCAAAATACCAATAAGCACATAAAAGCATCCCAGACCTTGCTTTGAGCTTTTGGCTTAAAAACACTTCTATTTAAGCAAAAGTTTGTCTTTGCAAACACCTTTTTTAGCCTTTTCCAATGGAAAAGCTAAAAAGTGCTTTAAAAAAGCATTTGCAAACAGACCCTAAGATTGTCCCATCTTTCCTTTTCGGTCCATCCCATTAAGATTATCCAATACCAAATTTGGTAAAGTTTTTGTGGTTCTAAATCATTCTTTCATTATTCTTACTTTATCAGTTCAATATCAACTGCACAAACTCACTTTTCTTACTAATCGCGTCACCCTCTAATGTCCCAATGTTAGTGGGATGGAGGTAGTAATATCTAAGGAAAAACCAACCCTGTGAAACTAATATGTGTTATGCAATCTGCTATTGATTCTAACTCAAATGGGGATTGCGGTTAGAATTTGTTTACATCAGTTTTTGGTTGAACTAGATGTGTTTTAAGCACCAGCAATCTTTCAGCCCATTTGTGAGCTAGAATGTTTGACACTGGTCCAAAGGAGTGAGTCCTTGTCCTGCCTGCTTTTATTTGTAGTGTTAGTTTTTTTCTTTCTTAAACAGATGTGGTTCGACCATGTAATGTCAATTTTTTTTTGGCGCATATGTTAGTGTATTGTACAAGTTATGCATCGTTGATGTAATATATCTGTATCAACTTCTCTCCTGCTAGATATTGAAGACCCTCTTTGAGCTTGTATTGTTTGAAGATTGTGTCAACCAGTGGAGTCTAAGCCGACCAATGCTGAGTTTAATACTTATAAGTGATGAGGTAACTGCACATATTTCTTTTTTATATCATGATAATATGTTTTCTACTTTTCAAGGCACCTGCTAGGCTAGTTTTGCTGCATTTCTTATTGCTTACCTTTTTTTAACCCAAATTCTTTTTGCTTACCCAGTACCTATACAAACCGTCAATATGTGCAATACATTTTAAGTTCAAGGTTTGTCAACCATGGTGTTCTTATGTCAAAGATGCACAACTCATTACTTTGATGCTTTTACAATCTGAGTTCTATACGATTTTGCTGAAGGGAAATTGGAGTTTGCACTCCAAATTTCCTTTGATTTTTTCTCAAAATCATTAATATTGCACCCTAAAACTAAACTAAAGCTTGAAACTCCATGTTTCTTTAAAATAGGATTTGCACCCCATTCTTAACAGTTTCTTTTTACTTTGGGTGCAAATATTAATGATTTTTAAAATGGACAAAATTTCTTCACATGATCTTTTTTCGTTCCAAACCATTGGGAAATTATGAGGGAATGATAGTGGTGGTAACAATGTTTAAAGACTGTATTGCACGTTTGTGTTAAAAAAATGACCTTGTTAGCTTTGGTCAATCTATTTTATTCTCTTTTCTTGCCTTCCGAGCATGAGAAAGCATATGCTCCCTCTTCTGCTTAACCAAACAGTTTGTAACCGTGGGTTTTGTGTTCGGTTACTGATATTTCCATTTGAAACTATTAGTATTAATTATTTACATCAAGTAAATATTTGACAATAGCATACTTCTGGCAATAGTGTTGACGGCATAAGTTATAAATACTGTGTAATCTGGCATTGCAAAGTAATCTCAAAAAAGCCAGTTGTCAAGAGAAATCTGCATTCTATAAATCATAAGTCAGTAGTTAGTAAATTCTATGATATATGGTTTTGTGTACCTTGCAGATGTTCTCTAATTTGAGGGCTCAGGTTACGGCTTCACAAGTAAGTTTTATTGAATTTGTGTGCCTACTATCTTGTGTTTCTTAAGTTGCCTCGAAATCACTATCCCATGGTTGTGAGTCTTGTGACTGGTTGCATTGACACTAAATTGGTTTGCATTAAAAAGAAAAAAATAAAGACATTGCATTTTGCTTTTGGTGTTTGTTGAATGTTTTACCCCTTTGTCCCTATGAAAGCTTAGTTATCTTAAAAAAGTCTTATTCACAGAAGCTTATTAAATTTAATGATTTTTTTAATAAGTGCCCTAAACAATATAGATATGCTAAACTAAGCTAACCTAACCAGAAAATAAATTTTAAAGCTTACCAACTACAATTGATGATTTCCAAAATCTTACTAAAATAAAAATAAAAATTGTATCTTTGTGAGACAAGATTTTTTGCCACGGAAGTAGTAATATTCTTTGGAGAAATGCTATATGCTTGCTATTGCTGTTGTTGAAAACATAAAAAAGTAATAGAGCCTAACGAGTTAAGCTTTAGCATGAAAGTGTTTGGTGGAGCTTGGCCTTGGCTAGTTGGCTTGCTTATGCTCCTCGTGATATGCTGGTATCATATTAAATAAATTGAACCATCGGATGCAATTAATTAATTAACACAAACGAAAAATGAAGCGGTGCACCTAGGGGTGGAATGGGCCGGTTCAGTCTGGCCTGGAACCTGGCCCGGACCGCCTCTGTGCGGTACCGGCCCGGCCATTTTTTTTTAATTTTTTCTAATGGATTGGGTGCTAGGCGGTGGGGTGGGTGGTTTGGGGGGGTGGGGTAAGAATAAATAAGAAAAATAATATTTTTTTTAAAAAAACTAGACCCAAACCCGGCCTGGCCCGGACCCGGACCCGGAACCAACCCGGGCCGGTACCGGGCCTTCAATTCCCAAACCCAGTCCCGCCTAAATCCCGACCCGGGGCCCGGCCCGACCAGGCCCCGGTCCAACCCTAGGTGCACCTATGAACATGGAATAATTGTACTTGCCTTGCCAAGAAAAGTTTTGCAGTGTTTTGTTACAATTCAAAAACACCCTTCTCTTGTTCTTGACTAAAAATTGTCTTGTTTTCATTTTTGTTTTGTTTTTGGCAAATATGCAGCAAGTGGATCAGCAGGAGCGCCTCTCCCTGTGCTTCGATAAACTAATGGCTGATATAACTCGAAGCTTGGATTCTAAGAATAGGGAGAAGTTCTCTAGCAATATAGCCAGATTCCGTAATGAATTCCGGACCAGATGAATGACTTCAATCCCATACTCTGGTTGCCACAATTTTTCCATGATGATCTTATCCCCCACCCCTCACCCTCTCCAACAAAGACACATATACAACAGGCATAAAAAAGAATCTGAACAAGAAAAGAGAAGTCATCGAGCAAATGTAGTAGGGAAAAAACACATCCCCCAAAAGCTTTGTTCTTTTTATCTGTGTTTCTTTTGCTGTGTCTTTGTATGCCAAATATCTGTAGTTATGGATTGGGGATTTTGTTGTAGTATGCCCTTTCACTTTAATCAACTTATTTCATGGAATTTGATGTGCCCATTATATATTATGGTAACAAAAAGTGGTGGGAAGGTAGCAGTGCACACGGTCTAGTTTCGGACCAGAGCAGTTTCCAATCAGGGTGAAACTCGAATAGACCGGTTTGATCCTTCTTGGAGGAACCAGATCAGAGCCTAACCGGAAAAATCAATGCTAGGCCCCAATTCTTATTTTAGAATGGAATCATGGATCAATCACCCCTTTGATTTCGGTGAAAATAGTGATGGTCCTACTTTGGTTCAGATCTGGGTCCGCTTGATTGCTACTATCCTAATTGTTGAGTTGATGCTTGCTTTGATGGTGATGTATTTGCCACTTGGCCGGAGCTGCTTGTAAAACCCACTCATAAAAGCTCTGAAATAATTGGGAATGCAGAGTCAAAGGAGGGGATTAGGTAAACGTTCACTGACGCAGACATTAAAAGAGTCTACGGTCAACACCTCCCCCCACTTCACTTTCATCATACCTATAATTCTGTACAGGTGTTTGGACGGCATTTCATGAATGGATAGTTCAAACAATGTCACAAACTAAAGCAATGTCCACTAGTATCGAGACAGAAGAATAATACGTAGTAATATACTAGTCTTTCATTTTCTTTTTGTTGAAGTGCATTACACAACTTTTTGTTCTGAAAAGTTCAACAATTTTATCATTTCATTCACGAGTTGTGCGTGGTGTATACCCAGTTGCTATGTTGTGGGAGCAACCCACAGTGAGCATGCTGCTCCCACAGCAAAAAAAAAGTGTGTTACTGTTCACGCATGAATAATAACTTCTTTTTTGTTTTTTTCAGTGTCCAGTAACAGAGTGATGTAACTCGTGTGTAAAGAAATGTAACTCACGTTAATAAGAAGTGTAACTGCAGGCAAGACGAAATGTAACTTGTCTAATACGGACTATAATAAATAAAACATTGATTTCCTTGAAAATAAGGAGTCTAATTGCTCAATTACTTTATGTAAATAGTGAATATGTTTTGTTTTTAATATTAAAGTCATAAATAATGTTTTTTCCTTAAAATCACTATTTTTTGCCAAAAACACTTATTTCGTTAAAAATCATTTTTTTTCTTGCAAAAAAATCATTTTTTTTCTTGCAAAAAACTCATTTTTTGTTTCAATAGCATGGGTTTACTTAAATAGTGAATATGTTCTATTTTTAATAATGAAGGTGGAGATTTTTTTTAAAAAATCAGTTTTTTGCCAAAGAAATCAATTTTTGCAATTTTTTGTTGCAAAAAATGAATCTTTTGTTTCAATAGCAGAGCTTTATGTTGCGATGTAACTCATGTTATAGATAATGTAACCCACGTTAATGAAAAATCTAACTTAGGTGAGTGCAAAATTTAACTTGTTAAGGTAAGTCTAAATGTAACTCGCGTATAGGAAGATGTAACTCACGCATAAAAAGATGTAACTCACGCATAAGAAGATGTAACTCCATGTACTATCAAATGTAAATAATGACAACAAGGAGTCTAATTGCATATTTTTTTTATGTAAATAGTTAATATGTTTTGTTTTTTGTATCAAGTCCATAGCAATGTTTCAAAGAAAAATAATATTTTTTGCCAAAATATTCTTTTTTTTGTCGAAAAATCATTTTTTTTCTCAAAAAAAAATCATTTTTTTTTTCAAAAAAAAAAATCATTTTTGTTTGCAAAAAATTATTTTTTAGTTTCAATGGCTGGAGTTTATTTTGGGATGCAACTCATGTTATGAAAAATTGTAACTCGTGCTAAAGAAAAATCTAAATTAGGTGTATGCAAAATATAGTTTGTTGAGACAAGTCTAAATGTAACTCGCACACAGAAAGATGTAACTCATGCACAACAAGATGTAACTCGCCAATAAGAAGATGTAACTTCATATACTATCACATGTAATTCCATAAATTGTCTAAACATAACTCACACATATGAAAAATGTAATATAATTTCATGTTTTATGAAATTTAAATCGAAAAAAAAATTAATGTCTTAAAATCACTAAAAACATATCAAAGAGATAAGAAATATATTTGTTTTTGCAAAGAGATAAGAAATATATTATAGAAAAAAATTAATGAACATGAAATATAAAAAATATTACAGAAAAAATATATTCTATTGTAATTTCAGTTGAATATAAGAAATTAGAAAAAATGTATATGAAATACAACATACTTATTTTATGTGGATTAATAAAATTTTGTAATAATTTGATAGAGAAAAATATAAGTTCAAATGTATTTAATTAGTTAAAGATAAAAATAAGTAAACTCACAAACAAACTTTTAGTATTTTGATGTAAAAGAGAAAAGAATTGAAGAAAATAGAAAAGAAAAATAAAGAGAGAAAGTAAAAACCTGGAGCAAAAAGAAAGAAAACTTCCGTAACATTAGATTGATGGGAGAGTGAGAAGAGAAAAAACGGTACCGTATGGGGATCGGCACACCATGCTCATGGTGGGCCGATCCCACGTTATAATTTGCCGTGTATACCTTTGACCGTGTACACCTTCATGTATAACCTCCATGTATATACGTAAAATAGGAGGCATAAAAGGTGTGCAAAATAGGGGTACAAAAGGTGTACACCAGAATAGAGGTACACTATGTGGTATGTACCCGCATTTGGAATGCTATATTTTCAAAGATTGGATTTCATATATATTGGAATGAATATTGTAATATCTCAAATTGATATTTCTATACTTTTTGGGCACAAAAAAGTAAGATGAATTTCGTGAATTACTTTTAAAAAATCTGAATTGCCCATAAATTTGGGATATCTCGAAAAGGAAATATGAGATTATTTAATGGGCAGTAACACAGTGGTAAAGTTTTATGTGAGGTAACATCCGTATAAGGTAGGTCTAATTGTCTAAACTTGTGTAAGTTACAAAAATCATTAAGGGTATGTTTGGAGTTTGGAAGAAAAGGAGGGGAAGACTTTGAAAGAAAGTTGTTGGATAGGAAATGAGGGGGAATGTTGGTAAATTTTTCTTATTTAGGAGTAGTAAATTTGAAAAAAAGGATCATAGAAGGAATTATCATTGAAATTATATTCTGAGATTCATTTTAAATTAATCTTAAATTATCATTTGGGTAGTTATCCTTCAAATCCTCCCATTTTGGATGAACTTAAAAATTGAGCATTTGAGAGGTTTTGGATGGTCACAAAAACCTTCCAAAAGCACTCATCCTCATTTCTTAAACTCTCAAATACAAATAGGAGGGTCATCAAACCCTTATTCGTCTTCCCTCCCTCCCAAAAATCAACTTCCAAACACACCCTAAGAGAATCACAATGCTCAAGTGCATTTGAGACTTTTTGTGATAGTGACACACATTACTCCCCAGACTAAAACACACTAATTTGAGGTGATTGGTATTCAGAATTAGAACTCCAGGAGACTATTTAATTGCATATATTCAAAATGTGTAGCTTGTAAGACATGTAAAACGTCCTCCCATGAGGAGTAAGTCAAGCTCTATTTATCAGTGGAGCAGGTAGACTTAGTGATTGGGACTTTGGAGGTCACCAGTTCAATGGTCCTGTTAACACTTTTTCTCGATCAAGCTTGTAACACATAAATACATAACTAGTCTAAATGGTGTGATTTTCATGCTAATGCGCTCAGCCTGAAGGGTTACCTAATGTGCACTAAAAGAGTAGTAGCCCCCATTAAAAAGAATTGAACTAGGTAATTGATTTGCTATCTAAGTTAGAGTGGCTTACCCCTTGTGATATTGAGTAAGGTTAGATATACATTTGTAGGGTACATTTGTCGTATACATTCCAATTAATGTACACAAGATCCCACATTGGAATGTAATGAAAGACAGTCCCTAATTCCACTATGTTAGACACAAAATATAAATTTACCTATTTAGTACTTAAACTTTAATTTTGCAAAGAAGAAAAACTTTGATTTACGTACAAAAATGTCACCACGTTTTTTGTCAACTTTAATGCATTTTTAATATATTTAGAGCCATTGAATCTTAGATTCGTTGCACTAGGTTCATTCTTACTTTTCATGGGATGAAATTTTCTACTCTAATCTACGAAGTTTTTAAGTATGGTTTGAACCATTTTGGTGTGGTAAATGTCTGCTTTTTGGATGTTTTTACTTCGACAGTTGGACTGTTGCAGTCCCAGACTAGACTTAAACAAATCAGTCCAGATCAGACCAGACTTAAACAGACAAGATCAGACCAGACTTAAACAAACCCGACTAGACTTGACTTCCATTGTTATAAAATACACCGAGACCAGACCAGGCAGAACTGCCAGACCAAACTTAAACAACCAAACCATACCAAACTTAAACAGACCAGACCAGACCATCAAATTACAGTCTAAGTAAAAACATCCTTTGTGTACTATTTATTTGATAACTAATCAAAGTCCGGTTTGTTATGCTCTCGTCCATTTAAGTTTGTTTTGGTCTCGTCTGTTGGAATTAAAAGTAGTTAAATAAAAACATGGAGATTTATTTTTAATCTTGATATTCTATTGTTATTCTCAAAATATATTTTAATATATCAAGTAGATTCTATTGTCAGTATGCTGCTTATCATAAATTCAACTCAATAATAGACTGATAGTCTTTCTTTTTACTAGAAATTGTGTAATTATATATTTGGCATCAGGTTTGCAAGTTAATTGGTAGTTAGAAGCAGAACTAAAAAAAGAAGAAATAAAACCTACGCAGAAATTCCAAATCCCTCAACTTAACCAACTCTTATGGTTTTATTGTTGACCAAAAGTCTACTCACTCAGAAACTTTAATTGCTTACCTCAAACACTTAAATTATTTTCCATCTTTACATGCATCATTGATAAGATGATTTTTGACTTGTTGAATATATATGCAGCAATGATGAATGAATAATATAGTTGGAACATGGCCATTTGGCATGGGGTATGGGACTGTGGAGGTCTGGAGGATGAAGTGCCATACATAGCAGTTGTTAGTCAAAGTCAACGCTAAATAGATTACATAATAATGCCAAATACAGCAAACCTTTTCTGGCTATTCATTGAAGGGAATGAATGACTCGAAAAAAAAAAATTAGATTCTCACTGATTTATTTAGCTTTTCTTATTAATTACTCCCTAAATGTTTTTTCAATTGCGGGTTACAAAGTTTGACCAATGATAAAGTTAAATGATCCATGTAAATAAAATTTACATATTCAGAAATTACATTAAAACCGCTACAAAGCTTGCAAAAAATAATTCATTTTTCATAAAATTTAGATATATAAAATATGGAGTAAGAGTTTAAAAGTGATTTAAGTTGACTCTCGAAAAGCGAAATGGAAGTTCTTTTAGAGACGGAGGGAGTTTAAATGTAATTATATAAAAGTGTTTGGATATATGGTTGTATTTGTTAATGTACAAATGAATTTGGTAAAAACAAAAGCATGTATACTATTGTCCGTGTGGATTCACAAAATAATGTGTTGTGTTTTGTATTGTTTTCAACATGTGTATTTATTTGGAATAACAGATGGAGAGGAAGAAAATAGTTGTATTAAAGGCCCTAATGTTGGTATGAAGTTCTCTAGCGAAGAAGCAGTTTAACTATGATGGGTGGATCACAACCGTTGAACAACAACGGTTAGACAAGTGTGAATGATAAGTGGTTGGACTTAAACCTTAATCAGTTGTGATTAACCATTGTATTTACATTTGAATAAACCATTTTTTGGAAAGTGAACATTAAT